CCCCCATCTCGCCTCCCCCCTATCCCAGTTGTTCCTCGTATCTACTTGTTTTTTTTTTTTTTTTTAAGGGCAAATCATTGTTTGTTGATTGATTGATTGATTGATTGATTGATTGATGGATTGATGGATGGATTGATGGATTGATGGATTGATGGATTGATGGATTAATTGATTGATTGATTGATTGATTGATTTATTAATTGATTGATTGATTGATTGATTGATTGATTGATTGATTGATTGAGCCGGGAGAGAGAGAGAGAGAGAGTTCTTTTTTTTCTTTTTTTTTCCGTTGCACTTATCCTTTTTTTTTGTGTTAATGCAGGTGCCGTCATTGATCGAGCAGCGGCGCCGGTGGATCCTGCCGACCAAGGCGCAAGTCAAGACGCGCACCCACCGACGAACGGCGAACGTGGCAAAACGTCGTCCAAACGTCGTTCAACGGGCGCTCAAAGGGGGTTCAACGGGGGTTCAACGGGGGTTTAACGGGGGTTCAACGGGGGTTCAACGGGGTATCAATGGGGTATCAACAGGGTTCAACGGTGTCCCGGGGTGTTCAACGGTGTTGAACGGAGGTTTGGCGGTTGGCGAAGGGGGCTGGGGTTGGGACGGGGCCGGCCGGGGATAGGCCTTCGTCTATAGTGCCGGCGGGGGGGGTTGCTCAACGGTTGTCAGGGTGGGTTGCATGAGGGGAGGTGCTTACGACCTGACGGGCGGGGGGTTGAAGGGGATTCACAATGTCGCGAAAACAGATTGGCAATCATGAGCTTGCGCCCGAACGTGTGCAACAAGATTTTAGGCGCAAGGATGTTGTGTACCATTACATTGTCGTCGGCCAGAAGGTCGACAACAGGGGGGCTCACATGCTACGGTGCACCTTTTGCAATAAGGTGTGGCAGGGAACCCAGTACTACTGCAACGAAACATTTTACTCAGCCACACTATTGCAAGAAGGTGTCCGACAAAGCATTGTTCCAGATTGCGCAGAAATGCACACATTGCTTCGAGGCCGACCAGGTAGAGAGGGTCCGGCGGTAGGCACCGTAGCGTGGTCTCGATGTCCCACAGTCTGGTGTGATGGGTGGCGAGGCGGAGCGTCCTGTACAGGGCGTGGGCGAGGGAGAGGATACCCAGCGTTGTGCGAAGGGAGGTGTTGTGAGAGATGGGGAGGGTGCGGGAGCCGCGGAGGAGGACGAGGCGGACGTCGAGCTCGAGGTTTGCGTGGCAGAGGGGGAGCGGACGCCGAGGGGGGAGGGGGGCGTGCCCGAGTTCGATCCGACGACTCGTCAGAGGACAGTGGACTGGGAGCGGAGCTGGGGGAAGAAGTGCATCCCGCCTGAGACAGCATGCACGCCGGGTTCTTCCAAGACTGTTGTTCCTGAGACAGCATGCACGCCGGGTTCTTCCAAGACTGTTCTTCCAGAGACAGCATGCACGCCGGGTTCTTCCAAGAGGAAGGATGGGGGTGCACATCTTTCTTCCAGCAAGGCCGGGAAGAGACTGTGACAATAGAAGGATAACGGACACATATGGTGGCGAGTGGATCGGTCATTAGAGGAAGGCATTGTTTCATTGGGCGTATTCCAGCGGGGTTGCCTTCAATGCCTTCCACAACACGCCGTGGAGGGATCTCCAGTAGGTTGCTCTTCAACATCCTGGTGGAGGACCTCTTCCCGTGCTTCCCTCCCACAGCGAGATCGCAAGCATGCGAGCTGTGGAGATCCACCGCGAGGAGTTGGAGGAGGAGTTGGAGGAGTTGAGGCAGCCATTATGGGTGAGCAGCGCCACCCTCCTCTCTGACGGGAGAAAGTCAGGAGACGGGCGACCGATCGTGAACTTCCTTGCAGTTGGGTCTCGAGGGGTCGTCATGTACGCGACGATCAACCGAGAGGGGGAGCCGGACGATGCGGTGCACGTCCTGCAGAGATGGGTCACCATCTTTCACGGTTTCAGGTTCGTTGGCCCACAATGGGTCAATGCTATATGCACTGACTCCGCCTCTATGTACGTGGGGGCTGCGAGGGCTTTGGCCTCGACAACTATGCCCCTTGAGCTGAGGAGGGATTACTTGGCTCCCGTGATGCATCCATGTCTGTAACAAATTGTTTTCAGACATGGACACGATCTGCACCTCTTTCGTGGACACGATCACACGTATCCGAGTTCTGGTGGTGTTTTTCAAAACTCACTAGGCTGCTCTTAGCTTCTTGCAGAAGCGCAGCCACGCGTTGGGGCTCATTCTTTCATGTGAGATGCGATTTGCGGCGATGTACTCCATGTTGGATAGGCTGCTGGCTCTGCAGGATCGTTTGCAGGGCATGATGACAACGGAGGACGGGCGGGATTGGGCAAGGATCCCATGGTCCCCCAACGTCCGCGACATGGTGTGTTGGGTGCGTCGACAGATCAGCTGGTCCCCTTGGTGGAAGAGGATGCGGCCCATCACGCACGTCATGGGTCCCGTCATGGACTTGCTGAGGCGGATGGACGGTAACGGTCAGTTCATGTCCCTCATTGTAAAGAGGACTCGGGATCTTGCATGCCTCATGCGGGACGCTTGCGCCCCTCTTGGCTCGTCCTTTTCTGACCACGTCATGAGGCGTGTGCAGGCCCGTATACAACACATGATGGAGCTTGCACACTGCGCGGCGTTCTTACTAAACCCCCGTCGGCGGGATATTCAGTACTTCTCCACGCAGCTCGACGAGTACCACACTTGGCTTGTTTGGCAAGCCAAGAGGTATTTGTTGTCTCAGACGGGCTTCGACGAGTCGGGTGCTCGTTACCTTGAGGTATGTCGGCAGTTCGAGGACTTCCACATGCAGCAGGGTAGGTATGGGACTTGGGGCGGGGGAGAGGGCCGCGCTCGAGCGCGTAGTTGCAGCGGGGACTTCGAGACGATGGAGTGTGCGTCGTGGTGGTCTCAATATGGGGGAGATGCACCTGATTTACAGTATTGCACCCTCCGTGTGATGCACATGTGGTCTTGCGCCTCTCCAGCGGAGAGGAACAGGGCGGTCTACGAGGGCATCCACACGAAGAAGCGCAATCAGTTGGCCTTTAAGAAGGTCGTCCATCTTGTTGAGATCATCGCAAATGTGCGGTTGATGGAGTATAGACGTGCAAATTGTGGATATGTCCTCCCTTGGCAGCGAGACGAGGGTATGCTTCACGCTCAGGCGGGATTGGAGGTGGGGCCTGTGCGGTCGGGGACGAGGAGTGGGATGACGGAGGAGGAGATCGAGGAGCAGGTTGCCCTCATGACGCGTGATCCCATCGGGGCCTCTGCACCGCCCCCTGTTGAGTCTGTTTTAAGTGCTTGTGCGGCTATCTTTCGTCTATACCCCAGGGATGATGCCTCTGAGGACGAGAGGGAGACGGAAGCATTGGACGACCCCGCGCTTCCCATCCTGTGCGGGATTAACGAGTTGCACGAGGAGGGCGACGAGGATGACGAGAGGACGCACACCGCGCGGGGGGTGATAGAGTAGGCAGACATAGAGATGATGGGGGGGGGGAGGAGCTTTCGGGGTCTTTCAGGGACATGGAGGAGAGATCACCCACTACCGCACAGGAACATACGCCTCCTCGCGCGACCTTGCGGAAGGAGACGCCTGCTCCCGCGACTGCGAGGGAGGAGCCACATCCTACCACAACAGCGAGGGAGCGGACGACTATTCCCGCGACCAAGCAAGAGCAGACATCTGCTCCCATGACCATGAGGGAGTAGACGAGTACTCCCGCGACGCAGTCCGGACCCCCGTCTCCGTTACCTCTTCCTCGTCATTCAGTTGCACCAGCCGCTCGGACCGCTCCCATTCGGCATGACGAGCGCTCACCTGCACCGGTTGGGAGGGAGGACTTGGGATCCTCGTTGCGCATGCACGGGCATGGATCGTTGTTTAGCGTAGCCCGTCAGCTCGTTTTGGAGCCGCATGCATTGGGGGACTTGGGGGAGGAGGGTGTTCATAGTTGGGCACCAGTGGTGAAGGAGGGGGAGAGACGAGTGGAGGAGCACAGAGCGAGCGGAGTTTAGGGTATTCGGGGTATGGAGGAGGAGGTAGTTGGAGCAGTGGGGAGAGGGTTGTCGTCTACACTGGAGGAGAGAGCAGGGTGGGAAGATAGACCGCAGGTTTAGAGAGAGGGGGGCGTGGTGGAGTTGGATGATGGTGCGCAGGTCGAGAGAAAGGAGGCCGTGGTGAGGGTGCATGATGGTGAGCAGGTTGAGAGAGTGGAAGGCGTGCTGCCGGCGCAGGTTGAAAGAGAGGAGGACGTGGTGAGGACACAGGTTGCGATAGACGAGGACATGGAGAGGCTGGATTATAGTGCGCAGGTTCAGAGAGAGGAGGGCGTGGTGGGGGCGCAGGTAGAGAGAGAGGAGGACGTGGTGAGGCCGCAAGTTGAGAGAGAGGAGGGTGTGGCAGGGGTAGATGATGATGCGCATGTTGAGATAGAGGACAATGTGGTGAGGGCAGATGCTGGTGTGTTGTTTGAGAGAGAGGAGGGTGTGGTTGGGGGGGACGTCGCCCATGGCAGAGGAGAGGGAAGCGACAACCTTGACCCGATCGTCCAGTGTTTCATCGCTAACGAGATGGGTCCCGCACTAGAGGGTTTGACCCCGGGCACGATGAGGGCACTGGGGGCATCGCCATCAAGAGGGAGGGGGGCTTCAGGGATGGGGATGCGAGATTTCATGGAGGTTTCTTTGGGGGATCCTCCCAGCCCTCGTTACGCAGAGCTGTGTGTCCGATTTTGAATTCAACGCGGGTTCCACGTTGAAAAATTTAACGCGCGTTGAATTCGTGTTAAACTCCCGTTCAAACGCGCGTTAGACGCACATTAACGGGGTTTGCGATAAATTTTTTCTTGGGCTAAAAATTATCCAAAAAATATATATATATATGGGGTTGTAGGTTTTTCTGAGTACTACAACTCTATATTTTCATTTTTATTTTTTGATGTTTAAATATATTTTTAAAAAATCCAAAACATAACCACACAATGAAAAAAAATAAAAATAAAATGAAATGAGTGTTTTTTATTTGGGTTTCACACAGATTTTTTAAGGGCTAAAACAAAAACAAAAAAACAAATAAAAAATATAGGGTTGTAAATCTTTCAAAGATGTACAACAATTTATTTTTTTTTATTTTTTTTAGAACTTTGTGTATTTTTTTAAAAATCAAAACCATAAAAAAAAAAAAGAGGAAAAAAAGACACACACACACACAATTGAGCCTGTAGCAGATTGCATGAGTCTGGCGTCTGAAGTTCCCGTACGGCATGGTTCGTCCGCCTCCGCTTCTATAAGGGTTGGTAGGTTGGCCCAACCCTGGTGCTTGTCACTGCTATGTGGTCCAAGTTGCCCTCAATACTGGTAGGGTGATGGTCGTCAGTGTTGGTCACACTGAGGTAGGATAGTAGGGACAGGAGGTGCCTCCCACCCGTGTTGGCTGAAGACCTTACTGATACAGACTGGAGGATCCAGCTGACTATCTCAGTTGGTTGGCATCGAGTGTGCCATAGGTGGGGATTGAACCCACAACCCCATGAATGCCACTTGCGTGCCTAATCAACTGAGGTAGGCCGCTGGACGGAGCCCAGATTCTTGGATCGCAAGAGGGGGAAAAAAAAAAAAAAAAAAAACCTGAAAAACGAATAGCAAGCTACTGAGGGTTGTGCCGCCCTACACGCGGCCAGGAAAAATGACATTTCAAGCTCTAAACTACTGGCAGTGTATCTACCTATGTTCTACCAGATTCATGACAAAGATAAGTACGTTTTGTTTTTCTTTTTTTTCTTAGCAAGCCCTACCAACGAGGCATGGCAGTCCGTTTTAGATTTCGGTACTTGGTTACAAACAGCAGAATGCTTGGATATTGTATTTCTGGAAAGATGCAGTAGAAGAGGGAAAAAAAAAAAACACGGACCCAAATCGCCCGCCCAAACCCATATCGCCCGCCCTCAGTTTTCAAAGGGGAAAAACTATATCCCTCAAAAGGGAAACAATGGACACACGCCAACAATCATGCACACACACACACACACACACACACACTTACAAACACACATATACACAAACACACGCGCATACATCCATATTCATGCACAGACACACTCTCACGCGCAGGCACACACATACACATACGTGCACACACAACACCAGTAGCGGTTAATGGGAGGCCCCAAATTCGGGTTTTTTTGCTGCATGACTACAAACAATGTTGTTGAAGCTTTTGCGAACACATATTTTTCCAAAGTTTTACTTTCTTGTTTTTTTTTTTCATCTGATATGTATGTGCTTAAGGTATATCTGTTTTCAGTTTCGCCGTATTTGGACAAGTTACAAAAATTTTGGCAAAAACAACAGACTCGAAGAAAGATTCATCGAACTCCGAAAACAAACTATGCAGGGTCATAATACAAACATAAAAAAAAAACGATCAAGCAAAAAATAAATAAATAAATAAAATTCAAGAGTACCCTATTCAGAGTAGCTTTCCGAGTTCGCTGAATCTTTCTTTGAGTCTGCTGTTTATGCCAAATTTTTTGTAACTTGTCCAAATACGGCGAAACTGAATACAGATATACCCTAAAGCACATACATATCAGATGAAAAAAAAAAAACGAGAAAAAAGTAAAACTTTGGAAAAATGTGGCAGTTTCGGTGAAAAATTCGCTAAAATTCGCCGAATGTTGGGCCTTCCATCAACCACTTTTTTTTTTTTTGCGTAAGGCCACGTGTTCCGGACCCCGCACATCAATTCTGTTTTTCCGAAAAGCGTGGGAGCGGCCCATTTTCGCGTTTAACGCGAATTCAATGGGATTTTTTTTTAATTTAACGGGATTCAACGAGAGTTTAATTCCCCCGTTCTCCGTTAAAAAGATACACAGACGCAGAGAGACAGGATATGGCGCGTGCCCTAGCGGCCGCCGGTTACTCGACAGAGGAGATCGAGCAGGCATTCGCGGGATACTCCGGCAATCGTACACGAGACACTCTTCAACAGGGGTGCGAGGAGGTACGAGAGCAGCTTCAGGAGGAGCGTGAGGATGCACCAGCTGCAGATATCCCCGGAGGTAGCGGTTCGTTGGTACGGTTTACGGGCCTGCAGCTGAGGACGACGACGTGGCCGGTTCGACCATGTGTGCAGGGGTCAGGTCCTGAGGAGGTGGCATCTGTTGAGGTACCACTGATCATAGTGGTGGATTTAGGATCATAGCCACTGCTTCTGACACCGGTTAGTGGGCGACAAGCTCCTCAGGATATAGCTTGCCCATTGAATGTGGCGGAGCTCGCGCGGGCTGTTGTGCTTGATGTCACACGGCAGGAGGACACCGACCCACGTAGACCACTCATGCCGCCACCTCCTCCGAGATCACGTCACGGTGATTCGCCCTCGACACCAGTGCGTCCACCCCCCCGCTCACCATCCACGCCCGACAGACCTAGGGCTCGTGACACGATGGGCGTAGGGAGCCTCCCTCTTGACACATCAGTATTCTGGAGGACGGATATCGACATGGACTCCACTCGTTGGGTCACAGTGCACACTGCACGACGCCAGCCAGGCTTGGGTGGGGGTGACACCGGAAGGGGTGTGGCGAGGGAGGTCATAGCGGCAGTTTCTTAGTCGCAGCATGTTCGTGGGCGTGGAGAGGCCGACTCTACCTTGCAGCACACTTTGGCAACAGCAACACGTGTTGTGCATGATCAGAGTCCACTCAAGAGAGGAGCAGCTCGTCCGCGTCCCGTGCCTGCGGCGGGGGGTGCCGCATTGGGGGAGTCTTCTGGAGCCCAGGGGTTCCGGATGCCGCGCAGTTCACGTCGTGAGAAGACAGTCGCACAAGTTACTCAAGTGAGTACTAGGGTTTTTTTGGTGAGGAGGGGGGTTGACCCTATCACCGTAGAGGAGGACGATCCCGAGACGGAGCCGACACGTGAGGAGGACCCACACGAGGATGACGAGTATAGGGAGGACGAGGACAGTGAGGAGGAGGAGAGCGACAACGGGGAGGACGACAACTACGACGACGACGACGAACCCTCCCCTCCACCATGGCGTGGTTCCGGTAGACGACGAGAGGAGGTTCAACCGACGAGACGGCGTGGTTTGAGTAGACGACGCGACGATGTTGACGACCCGTCCCCTCACGGGCGGCGGGATACGAGGAGACGAGGACCATCCGTTGCGACTGAGGCAGGGCGAGGGAGTGTTTCATCGACACGCAGCGCGGGTGGGGAGAGGCGGAGAGGCAGTGGTAAGGGGAAGCGAGGTCGACGGTTTTGACAGCTTCGTTTCCCTTCCACGTCGCCTTTATATTGTTTGTCCATCAACGTTCTTACCATTTTGTACATTGTTTAGGATGATGTACATATAGTTAGGTTTTAGGCACCGGTTCCTGCACTTTAGTATGCAGGTAGTGTCGTCGATAGTTTTTTTTTTTTACTTTTTTGGTTCATGCACGGCGTTTTCATTTTGTTTTTAGTTATTGGGTTTATGTTCGAGGTGGGACTTCATTGCGACTTGTCGTATTACGTAGATATTTGTTTTGGTTTTCTTTTCAGATTTGTTAGTTAGTGGTGTAGGCTGCATCCCATTACTGTACGACTCCGTATGAGTGTCAACGACACATTGTATCATGCGACATGTATTTCATATTGGATTCGTATATACGATTTCGACATGACTTTTGTATGAGATTTCATGACTACTTTGTTTTTATTGGACTTTCATGTTTTTTTGTGCATTTATTCTTCCATGTGTATGTGCGTGTGTGTATGTGTGTGTGTATGTGTGTGTGTATGTGTGTGTGTGTGTGTGTGTGTGTATGTATGTTTGTGTGTGTTACGGTTTGTTTTACTTTTGCCAGAGGGAATTGATAGTTGGTCTGTCCGACGTGCCTCGGAAGCTGGAGGGCCGCAAGAACTTAGTGTCAAGGAGTACTATGCATTTCACCTTCACGACCGCGATGGTGAAAGGTCTTACCTCCTTTATGCAGCACGTCTCTTCCACGAGTTTTGTTGCATGGTGTACGCTAAAGTTGAATCCCCCCGCTTAAAATGGGTGAGATTCCACCAAAAAGAATTGCGCTCGGAGTATTATCAAGATCTACGAGACGCTGTGCAACAAAGTCAATGTGGTGAGGGTGTCGGAACGTTAGTGGTTTTACCGTCAACGTTCACTTGGGGACCCCAATATATGAGTGAAAGATATCATGACAGCATGAGAATTGAGAGGCGATTCGGAAAACCGGATACTTTCATCACTATGACGTGCAACACTAACTGGTCGGAGATCAAACAAGCCCTGTTGTCAGGTCAATGTCCTAAAGACAGGCCGGATCTTCTTGTGCGAGTGTTCAAAGGTTATCTTGCACAACTGATTGATGAGATAAATAACAAACGGATCTTTGGTAGGGTGAGTGAAATGTTGTATGTGATGGAGTTTCACAAAAGGGATCTACCACACGCACATATATTGGTCATCCTGCATCCGGATGCTAAAATTCAGGATGCGGATGTTGTTGACAATATGGTGTGTGACGAGAGTCCTCCGGAAGGGGAATTAAGAGAAAAGGTAGCCAAGTTCATGTTGCACGGGATTTGCGGTGCGGAAAAACGCGACGCCATGTACGGAGGACAGAGAATGCACCAAAATGTTTTCGAAAGATTTCATTTCAACAACAACATTCAAAGACGAACAAACTTACCCTTTATATAGGAAACCAAGTGACGGAGATTTTACGATTGTTCAAAATGGTGTCGTTTACGACAATCGGCGTGTGGTCCCGTATAACCCGTACTTGCTAATGAGGTTTAATTGTCACTTGAATGTTGAATATTATATTAATATCAAGGCGTGCAAGTACGTGTATAAGTACGTATACAAAGGGTGCGATCGTGCTATGGTTTGCGAGTAAGATAATAATGCGTTCATCGACGAGGTCAAATTGTATCAAGATATGTGTGTTGTAGGTGCATGCGAAGCATGCTGGCGTCTATTTGAGTTTAACGTTGTGGAACAATGGCCCGCGGTTGAAAGATTGTCCGTGCATCTTGAAAACATGCAAAAATTGCAATTCGAACCTGACACTGAGCATGATGTTGTTTCGCAAGGGCCCCCGAAAACGAAATTGATGGCATGGATGAAACACAACTCTTTAAATGAATATGTTCCTAAAGAGGAGCTTCCTCTGTATGCATAGATCGTTAATACTCAAGAGTGGGATAACAAACATAAGAAGTGGAACCGAAGAAAGAGTGATCTTCACGGTCGCCCCTTTAAAAACATATTTTGGTTGCATCACGTAAGGATCACGGAAGACGAACGATTTTATCTGCGCGTGTTGCTAAACCATGAACATTCTCGTGGGGTGTGCTCTTTTGTCGAAATTCGTACGGTGGACGGAGTCGAATATGATTTTTTCTGATCCGTGTGTCTTCGATTAGGCCTTTTGCAAACAGACGATGCATACGATTAATGCATCGACACAGCTGTGACGCATTACATGCCTAAAGAAATCCGTAAAATATTTGCTATGGTTCTCGCATTTGGTCCAGTGAACGATCCGATCCGATGTGTGACGATTTTCAGTATCGTGCAGGCAATAAAATTGTTCCCCCGAACATTTTACAATCGTTAGTGTTATTCCATCTTGACCATATTTTGCAAAATTCTGGAAAAAAACATCCGTCAGTTCTGCCTTTATTATCCGACACCCGATGGGGAAACAAGTGTTGGGAACATAACCAGACATTACGAGAATAGAACGGTATCCTCGATTATAAACCACAAGTTATCGTATGATCCGATTCAAATGCAATGCAGATATAACTCTAATTTTCGACGTCTTTATCTACGTCAACGAGTGCTGGTGGAAAGAGTCGTTTGGATTGTGCAAGAGAAAAAAACGTTGCGTGTTTTTGTCGATGCACCGGCTGGAACAGGAAATACTTTATGCATTGAAATGATTTTGGCGGGCAGCTGGTCCCATTCTGCTATTGCATTGGTTGTCGCGTCTAGTGGAATAGCGGCTACTCTTTTGACGGGGGGTCGAACGTTTCACTCATGATTTCGTGCACCTTTAAAACTTGATAACACGCTTCCCTTCTTGATTCCGAAACAAAGTGATCTTGCGGAGTTTATCCACCGTGCCGACTTGATTGTTTGAGACGAGGCTCCTATGAGTAACAAGTTTCACTTGGAAACTCTTGATATTACGCTTCGAGACCTCTGTAACAGTGACGAGCCGTTTGGCGGAAACGTTCTACTTCTTGCTGAAGATTTTAGACAAGTTTTGCCCGTTGTGAAACACAGATCGTGAGGGCAACAAATTGATGCTTCCATAAAATGTCTCCTTTATGGAAACTTTCTGAGGTTCATCAACTGACCGAAAATATGTGAATCTTAAGCTTGAGCAATGATAAAATAACACGAATGTATGACCATTTTTTTATATGTATTGGGAATGGTGATCATCCTCGTGTTGTTCCTAATGAACCTTCTATGGTCAAATTACCACGTGAGATTTGTACGGATAAATTGATTGCTGAGTTGATTTCATGGACGTTTGATGATGTGTCCAACTATGTGGGGGATGCCGATTATTTCTTGCCTCCGTTAATTCTATGTCGTACTAATGACGATGCCGATTCTATTAACATCCGTGTTCTTGACGACTTTCTTGGGGAAGTGCGTGACCTTTTTAGTGTTGATTATCCTGATTCGGATGATATTGGATTCAGTATTGAGCGAGAGTTCTTAAACTCTCTCGACGAATCTGACCTTCCACCTCACAAGTTGCGCTTAAAAATTGGTACACTTGTGATGCTTTTGCGAAATTTGTCACCGAAGCAAGGACTTTACAACGATACAAGGTTGATTTTGAAGAAGATCGTTAATGATGATTTGTTGGAAGTGACAATAATGCACACGGGTAAGACAACACTGATCCCCAAGATTGATTTGACAAGCGATGGTGAGACAATGAGGTTCAAATGGTTTATGAGGCAATTTCCTGTCTGTCTTGCTTTTGCTGTAATGATTAACAAGTCGCAAGGACAAACCGTATCGCATGTCGGGGTTTGGCTACGCAGACCGGTTTTTGCGCATAGCAAACCGTACGTTGCTTTGTCACGTGTTGGTCATCCCAACAACATCCGTGTTGCATTGCCTGATAATAATTTTTTTTACGAAGAATATTGTATATCATGAACTTTTGGGGTGAGTCATTCTTTTTTTTTTTCGTCGAGCCTTCGCATTCCAAATAATTTCGTCATATTTTTTTTTTGCAGGCGACTTCCGAATGCCGCATAAGTACGACACTCGTGCTAAGAGGAAAGCAATGACAACCAACAATACCGCTCAATATGATACAAATGTTACGTCAAAAGTTGGAGCTGAACATTCGGAGAGGTCGAAAAAAAGTGGAAATGATGAGAGGTCGGTGAATCTTGGAAGTGAGCGTTCTCGAGACGATCATGGTCATCTTGCTGAAGTTGAACATTGATGTTCGCAACGCAATATACTTGTTGATGCTGAGAAGATGATTGTGGAGGAGGGTGGTGACAATTGTCGTGCTGATGGGGATGGTTTGCGTGGAGGTCTATCGGGTGGGCCTAATAACCTTACATTTCCCGGTGACGAGGATGATAACGCTACAGGTAATTTGAAAAAAGGGTATGTTGATTCTACATTCAAGAAAAGAAAGAGTCGTGGTAGAAAATCTAAACCTTTGGGTTCGCCCGAATTGCTCGAGCCTACGTTTGCTGACAATCGGGTGGGACGGTAACCTGTTCTTGATGAAATGGGAACACAAATTTTGAACGCGCTTAATGCGCTCCCTATGAATGCATTTGCATCTCTCCCGTTTTGTGGACTGTTCGTTGGACGTGCACGTGTTCGTGATTCGTGTTCGCAATCTCAACGCAGTGGACGTGAAAAAGATGTTTGCCCCACATCACAATCACAAAATTCTTTGGGGGTTATTGTTGTGCCCGATGATAATGATGCACCCACAATCCTCACTCCGAATCCGTGCGCTTACCTTGCTAGATGGTTTGACGATGCGAAGAAGGTTGGCATGCAAAATATCTTGACTGAGGTGTTTTTTAAAATGTTTGTCAAAACTGGCACAGTCGTAAAAGATGGACGAAAATGGGAAAACTTCCTCGAATGGAAAATAAGCAAACTCACTGATATGCGGTTGCAACGACGATCCCCTCTTCCTTCAGACCCGTTGAATGTTTCGGATTTGGAGAGTTCTTCCATGTTGAATTTACTTTTGACTGATGCGTATGTTGCTCTCTTTAATGAGGACATTACTAGGATGGCATTTGATTTCCCACGTTGTC